GGTTTAAGAGAAAGTATTTTCAATATGAAGCCAATATACAAATCAAAGGGACATGACCTCAAAATTGCAGGAGGAAAGTGCAAAACTAAGTATTACTATAAATAGCATTATTTTACAGAAAGAGGAATTGCTGCTTGAAATAGACTTCCAACAGAGATAGTAAGTCATTGAACAGTAAGTGGGTTCAGACATGCTTGGGACAAACATATTTATACTCAAAAAAATTATAAGAAAAAAGTTAACAGGAAAAAAAATATATAAATTAAAAAATTAGATAAACTCAATGGACCACTTGGCCTTTTTTTCTGCAGTCACTCTTCTATGTAGCCCAGGTTAGTGACTTGCCAGTATGGTCTTCATGTTTCTTCAATATTTTAAGGCACTGAAGCTTCTTTGCTTACTGACATGCTTGTGCATTCCTATAACTGCTCTTACCACACAGGTTAATCCAGGCTCTCTTTGCTTTTTGACTTGGGTACCAAGTCAAACCTTTAATCAGAAACTGCCTAAGGGCCAAATCTTCGGAGCATTATCCAGGAGAGAAATGTCCAACATAGTGACATCTATTTTCCTGGCTGACTTGACAGGTCTACTGTCATTTAACCTAGAAGAGGGTTGTGGCATGCAGAGCTACAGATGAGTACCTCAGCAAGGTTTCTAACATGCCTGACTATTACTGTTTTATTTTATTTTAAAACTGGAGTTCTGATATAAGAAACAGTGCAATATTGCCTGGCTAACTGCGCCCTTAGATAAGTGGTTCTCTTCTACCTTGTCCCAGGCCTATGGTCAGCTCCATATCCCATATCCTTCCAGCTCCCATATTTTCCCCAACCTCCCATATGTGCCTGCAGTGCCCCTCAACCCCCAGGCCCTCTGAGATCCCTCAACCTCCACAATGCCCACCCCCCACCTTCCACAGTGACCCCCAACTTAGTGCAGAACCTCCAGCCCCCCATCGTGCTCCTAACATCCAACAGTGTCCCACAGTGCCTCCTAACTTCCACAGTTACTTCTAGTTTCCTACAGTGCCTCTGGAAAGTTCCCAGCCTCCTGGAGAGACCCCAACTGCCTTCAGAAACCTGAACCCTGACGGGTCAAGTCTGGTGCAGAGTCCCCTAACCCCCTCCAAAACCCCCATTCTTCTACAATGACACCCAGTCTGATCCAGAGCCTCCTAGCATTTCAATGCATATTTTGCATATCCATGCTAATTCATGCCAAAATGTGTTCTGGATATGTTTTTACATATGCATTTACACGCATTTTTGATGTGTTCTCAGTGCGTTCTAGTGTCTTTTTCCACTTTTTTATTTTGACACTAAAAAAAATCTTTAGTTTCATTAGAACAATGTATGTTCTCGTTCATTCTGATTTGTTTACACATGTTTTGATGCATTCTGGACACAAAAAGGCAGCAGGCTGTACTTCTGTTGAAAGCACTGGAACAGACTGCGCTGGTGTGATCTAGAGCCATTGGAATACATGGCAAACGCTGCGCATGTGTTCTGGATGTGGTTCAACCACTTGTCCTCCAAAGGATTTACCCCCTTTCCTGACCAGGCTATTTTTTGTGATACAGCGCTGCGTTACTTTAACTGACAATTGCGTGATCATGCAACGCTGCATCCAAATTAAATTTACCTCCTTTTTTTTCTCACAAATAGCGATTTCTTTTAGTGGTATTTGATCGCCTGTGCAGTTTTTATTTTTTGTGCTATAAACAAAAAAAGACCAACAATTTTGAGAAAAATACAATATTTTTGACTTTTTGCTATTAAACATGTCCAGTAAAAAAAAAATAAAAAAAATAAAATTTCGCTGAAAAATTTAGGCCAAAATGTATTCTGCTACATCTTTGCTAAATAAAAAATCCCAATACGTGTAAATGAATTGGTTTACATGAACGTTATAGCGTTTACAAATGGCGGTATATATACTGGAATTTTAAAAAAAATGGCGGCAATGAGCAACTTATAGCAGGACTGCGGAGGGCATTCTGACACTGGGAGGAACGGACTTGGTGTCACTGACATCCCCAGTGACACTAATACAGTGATGAGTGCTAATAAAAAGCACTGACACTGTACTAATGGCACTGAACAGAAAGGGGTTAACATGTGGGGCGATCAAAGGGTTAACTGTGTGCTGTTTTACTGTGAGGCTGTGTGCTGTGTTTCACTGTAAGCACACTGCTTTGTATGGCTCTGCTATGCAGAGCTATACAAAACAGTGTGCAGGAGCTGACAGGTGAGAGATCTGTGTTGTTTATACACAGGTCTCTCCCCCGTCGGAGATACTGGGTGATCAGCGGGTCTGTCTGGGACCTAGTGATTGACAGCCGAGGCTGCCAATGGCAGTGCGGGGAGGGCGCATTCATGGCGCATGCGCACGCCCCATACCTGGAACTGCAAAATCATGCTTATATACGTGATTTTGCGCACCCGTACCACCCTGTAGCACTATTTCTCCCTTTATGGTTTTGTTCCTATAGTAAGGCTTATCCCTAGGTGCAGTAAACACCTCCTAGTCATACACCAATTAAGAGATATTTACATGTAAAGCAGCCAATGACGTCACCAGCATATGTGCACTGCACTCTCAATGGACAGCATGCTGTCCATTGAGAAAGCTATACCGTGGCTGGGGCTCCTGCGCACATGTACGGAAGTGACATCGTCATGGCTTGAAAAGATGGAGCCCACAAACCCAGAAAGAAGGCTGGGTGAAGATGAATTCCCTGTCAGCATTGACAGGGTGCCGCTGGAGGGATCCCTTTGATAGGCAAGTCTATCATAATGTGCTAGTATGTAGGGCACAGCTGTTTTTTGTTCTATCTCTTTAAAAATGCACTGGAAAGCATCTGGTGTGAACCAGCCCTTACTGTTGGAGCATGGGAGGTTTTGGAAGCACTTACCAGGCCCTGGTCTTAATACAGTTGAGAACCACTGCCTTAGATCACAAGTAGGCTGACAATGAGATAACAGTGTAATTTTATGTGAAGAAAACAACACAAAGTGTTGTTATCTTTCATACAGAATGTTTGGTTAGATTTGAATTATTTAGGGTCATTAAGAGACTAAAAGGCCTTGGTTGTGCAGACAACAGTAACTTGTTTCATGCAATCAGATCAGTTAATAAATGATTTCTAACAGTCCTGTGTGTGCTCATTTACACTATGCCTGCACTACTCTTTTGTGCTGCTAGATGGTGCTGTTGATTTTTTCAAGTTTCTGCTTATTCTAAAATTTTGTAGCTTCAACAATCTATCATGAAAGAAGTCATAAAAAGATCCATGGTTGTGAGAAATATGTAAATGTTCTCAACACATCCCATAATAAACATTATATTGATGTAGAAAACACATCAACATGCAGTCTGTTTTTCTGAAATAGATGTGCAGAGATATATTAGCTGCTAAAGGACACTTATCCTAGCATTCATTTAGAAAAGTAACATCTTATATGTTATTTTACTAAGAGCTAAAACTAGAATGTGTTGCTGTATTAACTATATTGTCTTCTTTACATTAATAGTTTATTTGTAGTTTTACGTATAAACAAAAGGAGTAAAAAGGACATGGTTTCATGTTTCATGAACTATAGAGAGTCTACTGACTCCCCTTAAAATCACCTACACACTCACCCCTAAAGCTCTCATGTTGAATTAAGCCACAAATCTCTAGAAGTAACCAGATGTTGGAAACAGAATAAGAAAAAAAATGATCAGAGTTTATTTTGAGGCTTGCTGCTGTCCTATTGTAACCCAACTGCCCTAGGTCCACTAGTGACATAATATATTCAGCCCCAGGGGTAGGTGGAGGCACACTGGGCGCCACTTATTGTCCCTACATTTTGTTCCCTAGGTTTTGCCACCATTGTCGGCTTGTCACTTGTGTTGTCACATGTACAGTGGGTTACCATAGGGTACCACAATTGCCAGTGTGCCATGGTTGCCCGTGTGTTACCCATGTATTTGTACAGATGGCAGTATGTTGCTTGTTGTAGTATATAGCTATAATTGCTTATGTATTACTACATCTGTGTGAGTGCGGGGCTAAGACAGTTCAAGGCTAGGTTCATCTTTGGAAAACAAATAATAAATGCACATATTTTTGCAGAAACAAAAGCGCATATATTATTTTTTCCCCAAGGAGCCTGCAAAGCATTTCACCCGTGATCAGTGGATCAGGGGTGCAACGTCAAGTCCTCATGCTTTCTGCCCATACCTGCATACAGGCTTTCTGTTTTGAAAGCTTCAGGGCTTGTGATTAAACTATAAGTGTGCTCACCAGCGCCCTCACAGTTCATTGAGAACTACAAGCTTTCCGCCTCAGATGGAACTTGTAGTGTTCTCATTCACCGATTCCTGAAACGTGACAGTGGGTGTGGGGAGAGGAACCCCCAACCGCAGGCACAGGGGGGGATTGGGAAGGGGCAGGGTGGTGAGGAGAACATGTGCTGGAGCATGTTACATGTTACAACCTAAATATGGATGTAGCGTGTATCATACTCCAAAGCTGAACTTATCCTTTCAGATTGTTTTTTTTGACTGTTTTCTATCATTCAACCTTACACTGGCCTGTCAGCAATAAAATGCTTCCCTAAGAACGGATATTTTTTACCATTATCCCTATTCGCCATGTGTTAGCACTAATACAACTTGCAGAATCTCAGGCTCATGGGGTTACAAAAGTTCCCACATATGATAGTAGCAAAGAATAACATTTCCATATCTAAGGTACAAAATAGGATGGGTTGCTTTTTCTAATCTGCATGTATATGTACAGGAAAAAAAAAAAAAACACAGCTCTTCATTTTCGGTTGGAGATGGGTAGGGATGAGCGGATTTGCCTGGGATTGATTTGTGGCCAGTTTCATGGAGAAGCCTCAAAATCCAGAAAATCCAAACTTTTGTCTTGAGATAGAACAGAGGACTTCCCTGCCGCATATATATGTGATTTTACATTTCCGGGTAGGGGGGGCGCACAGGTCGCACGCATGGCCTACACGTGCCACCATTCGCGTCCACGGCTGTCAATCACCAGGTCCCGGCCAGTGATTACCCACCGGCGCCCGATGATTGCTGAGGATCTCCGACAGGGATAAGGGTTGTTTTGTTTACTAACAGTCCTCCCTGACGGCTCGGGCATACTGCTCTGGATGGCTGTGCACAGCACAGCCACCCAGAGCAGTGTGCTTACAGTGAAGCACCAACACACCGCCCCCCCAGTAAAACACTCCCTGCACACAGTTAACCCTTTGATTACCTCTCATGTTAACCACTTCCTACCCAGTGCCGTTAGTACAGTGTCAGTGCTTTTTTTTAGAACTGATCACTGTATTGGTGTCACTGGGTATGTCAGTGACACCAAGTCAGAATGTCCACTGCAGTTTCGCAGTCCCGCAGTCCCTCTATAAGTCGCTGATCGTCGCCATTACTAGTTATAAAAAAAAAATTTGAGTATATATACCGCCATTTGTAAACACTATAACTTTCACGTAAACCAATTAATTTACATGTATTGGGATTTATTTTAGCAAAGACGTAGCAGAATACAATTTGGCCTAAATTTATGATGAAATTTGATTTTTTTTATTTTTTTACTGGACATGTTTTATAGCAAAAAGTCAAAAATATTGTTTTTTTTCTCAAAATTGTCTGACTTTTTTTTTATAGCGCAAAAAATAAAAAAACGCAGAGGCAATAAAATACCACCAAAAGAAAGCTCAACTCGTGGGAAAAAAAGGACATAAATTTAATTTGGGTGAAGCATTGCATGACCGTGCAATTGTCAGTTAAAGTAATGCAGCGCTGTAATGCAAAAAATAGCCTGGTCAGCAAGGGGGGGGGGGGGGGGGGGGTAAATCCTCAGGAGGGCAAGTGGTTAATATGGCTAAAAGTAATGATGATGTGCAAAGAGCAGTAACCCATATGATGTCATTATATTTTTTAATCAGCTAAGAGCAGTCAGAACTATAAAGTATTATTGCTGATTGATTGCTTTGAGCTACTACACTTGGTGATTGGTTGCTGTGGGCTACTACAATTTACTTAATTTTCTTTTGCTTTATGAAGAAGTCCATAAGAGTATGCTTGTGGTTTACAATCTATTATTGTCTTCTAAAAGCCCATGGCCCAGTCCCTAATGATTGAATACACAAAAGTCACACTACAAAGCAAATTCTGCAACGTGAGCTCTGAACGGCTGATGTCTGCAATAAAATATGACAATTAAATGCTGTACATAAATTTAAGCAATATGAAATGACACTGAGCCACTTCTAACTCGTCTTTGGCATAGCTAAAAAGTATTGCTTGTCACAAGTCAAGGAAATGGTGTTATCATCTGAAAAATGTATCAGTAGAAATGCAATTAAAAGAGAAGTCTGGACTGTAAAGCATGCAATACCTCTCAATTCCCTGACATATAGGTGCATTAACATTCACAGTGATGTGCCATACAGAAATTAGGGACTAGTGGTATGGCATTCGTTCTGCTCGTAGGGAGCTCATGTTGTGTAATGTAACTGTTTAAATGGTTTCCTTCTTTCTTTTAATGAGTCATAAACAATAAGCAGTACTTACTGATAAGAGAATTTAGATGTCCACCTGGCCAGTGGTAGCAGCAAATACACTTCTTTAACAAGGTCCCCAATGAGTTATAAAATAGACACAAATGATTGTGGGGAAGAAGGAATATTAAATGTGCTTTCTAAAGCAGGTTGTTCAATAACAATAGTAAATATGAATACAGTTACACTGGAGCCAAGCTCCTAAATTGGCAAAAATAAAACGTAATTTTATGTGAAAGAGGTACATTCAAAAGTAGGTATGTAAAGTGCAGAAAAACAGGACTCCTCTATATGCTCCTCTATGGGTTTACACTTTGCATTTAGAAATATAGAGCCCCGCTATACAACATATATTGCACATATTGGTGTATGAATGTTACTAATAGTATTTCACATGAAGCTATTTCTCATGCTAGTTTAGTGGTTCTCTAAACTTTAGAAGAGTGTGGTTTCAATATAAATTCTTTTTTACAGCTGGCATAAATGTTTAGCTCAGATTAATTTTCAAAGAAACCTGTCTGTAAAATATGGAGGTTTATATTGCTAAATTCACATAGCTACAGACAGTAGTTCATGAGGTTGCAAAAAAGGCACAGGTCCATCCAGTTCAACGATGTGTGTATGATGCTTATTGTCAAACAATTCCCGTGGGCTTGTATAGTTTGCTTTCTGAGGAAGATGTCTCTAATGTTTTTTTAAGCTGTCGACAATTTCAGCTAGTACCAATTCCTGGGGGAGGGAGTTCCACGTTTTTTACTTTACTTTTTACTGCTCTAACAGTAAATAATCCTTTCTTCAATCTGATGTTAAACCTTCTTTCTTCTAACCTCAAATCGTGGCCACATGTCCTCTTCAAGGATCTTAGAATAAACAGTTTATTACAGTTACTGAAGTGACCTTTGAAATATTTGTACATTGTAATCATATCCCCTGTTCAGCACATTTTCTCCAGGCTGAATAACTGTAATCAATGTAATTGGTCCTCATAGCTGAGAGGCTCCACCCCATTTTTATTTTTTTGCCTTTCTAATTCAGCAATGTATTTCTTAATTTGGTGACCAAAAGTGAACTGCATTTTCAAGATGAGGTCAAACTACTGTTTTGTAAAGGGGTGCAATTATTGATTTATCTCTTGACTGTATGTCCTTTTTATTGCATGAGAATATTTTACTAGCTTTGTTAGCTGCAACTTGGCATTGCATTGATTTTCCTGGGGGAGCTTCTCTTAATATGTATTTTGCATGTCTATTTGTGGCACCCAAGTGCATACTATCACATTTCTCAATATTTGAGATATTTCATATTTCTCAAATTGAACTGCATATGTCTTGTAGCTGCCCAACCCCCTATTTTGTTGAGGTCCTCTTGTAATGATGCTATATCCTGTGCTGAAGTTATTTCCCTGCATAATTTGATATAATCAGCAAATACTGAAATTGAGTTCCTAAAGTGGTTCTAAAGCCTTAAGGTTTTCTATGCATTAAGGTAAAAAACCTGTACTGCAGGATCCCCCCCCCCCCCATTCTTACCTGAGCCCAATCCAGTGATGTGCACGTGAGCAGCGGCTCTTGCCTTTGTCTCCCTCCTCAATGGGCAGATTGATAGCAGTGAGAGCCATTGGTTCCCACTGCTGTCAATCAAATGCTGTGATGAGGGAATAGGGGTGGGGCCAAGCCACCTGCTCTGTGTCAATAGATGCAGACAGGGAAGCTCGAGAGAGAGCCTGCACGGGTGCCCCCATGGAGAGCCACTTTCACTCCCACTGGGGCACACCACTCACAACTTTAGGTCATTCACAAAATAAGTCATTTGTCATTACTCTCTGGGCCATTCATATAACCATTTTCCTATCCATTTACATATTTTTGTCAACTTCGACAGACCTTATTTTTAGATTAAACCTTTAGGGCTCTTTCACATGGATGTTCCGATCGGATCTGCCTGCCCAATTTTTCAGGCGGACCCAATCGGAACCTCCATTTTCCTCTATGGAGCGGCTGGTGTAAATGGACACATGTCCGTTTATACCCGCTGACATCTGATCCACCAAAAAGTAACGGATGGGGATCCGATTCCCCTTCCATCATTCAGATTGGGTCGGATGAGAATGGACAGGCGGTCCATTTTCATCCAACCGCCCATTTAGGAGAGTGAGCAGCTCTGTATCTGCTCTGCAGCAACAGAGAGGACACAGAGCTATCATTCGCTTGGATCAGCGGAGAGATCACCTGCTGAGCAAACGGATCTGCTAAACAGGTCCGTTCCATGTGAAAGGACCCTTATGGTGTACAACATCAAATGCTTTATTAAAATCTAGATAAACCTCATCCACTGGAATTCCACTATACAATTTATCACTTACCTCCTCATAGAAACATAACAGGTTGCTAACAGGTGTAATTCTTCCTTCGTGTAGCCAAACCTAAAGAAAAACGGAGTTACACTTTAAAACTAATATGTCATCTACAATCATGTGCATGGAGTCCAATACAACACTCATGTACAAGCAGCAATATGAGCATTCCCTTGTTGATCTGGTACTGCACTACTGGAACCATTCCATTTAGAAGAATCCAAACTACTGTGGGACCATGACCTAGAATCCAAACTACCGTGGTACCAGACTTAGACTATCTTTGTTGACCTCCTTCTGAAAATGCACCTGGCTATTGTTCACTTCAGCACTTTTTTTAAGGATCATGCATGCAGTCAGGGGGAAGTAAAAAAAATCAGCACACTTTTTTCAGTTAATGAATTGGATAGTACGAAGACCATTGGATCAGAATGACATCCAGGGAATTAACAATTTCAGCCAATACCAACACTGGCAGCCAGGGGCGTATCATGAAATCAGTGGGCCCGTGTGCAAGATCAAAAGTGGGCCCTAGGCAGTGATAAAGAAAAAATGCAGTGTGCGAAGAGTGGGTGTGGTTTAAATTGCACTTAAAATGATCTTAAAATGGCTTAAAAGGGGTGTTGTTAAATAATGTCTGAGATGACTTATGTGCAGAGGACTGTGGAGTGTATGGCGGTGGGTAATATGTACAGGGAGAGGACAGTGGAGTGTATGGCGGTGGGTAGTATGTGCAGGGAGAGGACTGTGGAGTGTATGGTGGTGGGTAGTATGTGCAGGGAGAGGACTGCGGAGTGTATGGCGGTGGGTAGTATGTGCAGGGAGAGGACTGCAGAGTATGGCGGTGGGTAGTATGTGCAGGGAGAGGACTGCGGAGTGTATGGCGGTGGGTAGCATGTGCAGGGAGAGGACTGCGGAGTGTATGGCGGTGGGTAGCATGTGCAGGGAGAGGACTGCGGAGTGTATGGCGGTGGGTAGCATGTGCAGGGAGAGGACTGCGGAGTGTATGGCGGTGGGTAGCATGTGCAGGGAGAGGACTGCGGAGTGTATGGCGGTGGGTAGCATGTGCAGGGAGAGGACTGCGGAGTGTATGGCGGTGGGTAGCATGTGCAGGGAGAGGACTGCGGAGTGTATGGCGGTGGGTAGCATGTGCAGGGACAGGACTGCGGAGTGCATGGCGGTGGGTAGCATGTGCAGAGAGAAGACTGCGGAGTGTATGGCGGTGGGTAGCATGTGCAGGGAGAGGACTGCGGAGTGTATGGCGGTGGGTAGCATGTACAGGGAGAGGACTGCGGAGTGTATGGCGGTGGGCAGCATGTACAGGGAGAGGACTGCGGAGTGTATGGCGATGGGTAGCATGTACAGGGAGAGGACTGTGGAGTGTATGGCGGTGGGTAGTATGTGCAGGATTGTGTCAGTCGGGCAGTGGATGGTGTCAGTAGTTCTGTATTTTTATTATTAATTTTTTTTTACAAACCAATCACGACCAACAATGCCAC